ACTGACATGAGCTGTGAAAAAATGCCATGAAAACAATTAAATGGTAAGTTTATGCTATGTATATTTTATGATAGTTTTAAGAAGAATGAATGCATCCCTTCAAGGCTTCATTCAAACACCACTTCTTCCCTGAAGCCCTTCCTTGTGCTTTAGCCCACCCATGCCCAACGAATCCTGATGTCCTTTGTAATTTTCTTTTCATTCAATTGAACCAGCAAAGGCATTTTGTGGATTTTATTTTCCTTTTCATAGAAACTTCAACTGGGGAGAAAATGTAAGAGTCATTGCTGTGGTTTGAATATGAAGTGTCCCCCCAAAAAGGCTCATGTGTGGAAGGCTCAGCCAGCTGGTGGATCCAGTCACTGAGAGGTAATTGCACTCTGAGGGCTATGTCCCAATCACTGGATTAATCCCTTGATGGATTCATAGTATGATGGCATTAATGGAAGGTGGTGAAAAGTAGGAAGTGGGACGTCATTGGAGGAAGCTGGTTACTGGGGGTGTGTCCTGAAAAGAAGTACCTTGTCCCCAGCCCCTTCCTGTCTCTGTTTCCTGGCTGCCATGAGGTAAGCAACTCTGTTCTACCAGTCTTCTGCCATGATGTTCGGCCTCACCACAGGCCCAGAAACAACAGAGCCAGCCGATCAGCCTCAGAAACCATAAGCCAAAGTAAGTCATTCTTCCTTTTAAGTTGTTTCCTCAGGTATTTGTCATAGCAACAAAAACACCAACTAATGCACACATTCAACAGTATGGCTGAGCACCACTCTGTGTTGGGTGCCATGTTAAACACAGCAACAAGGGATCAAAGCAATACATTGCGAGAGGGTTATCTAGTGAGCTGGGACACCCTCCCTGGAAGAACCAGAGGGTAGGACTGGGCTGAGAAGGAGGTGAGGATGACTGGGGAGTGGGCACTCCTTACAGAGATAGCTTTAGAGCTGGCTGTGAAAGAGTGAGAGGGGTGAAGTGAAGAACAGTAGCAGGAATGGCTTTTGACAAAACATGGCTACACAAAAGAGCCTGGGAGAGAAGTCTGGTCAGAGATTCTCTTTCAGTGGGACTGCTTTGGACCCTGCCTGCTGCGACCATGGGCAAGTTTCTTCAGGTCTACACTGTCCAGGTTGTTGTGGACAAGGATTAAACAGGATAAGGATTTTAAGACAACTGCCTTCTACTGGGCACCTCTCCTCATTTTCTCAGCTGGAGAAGCCCCCTTGTGTTTGAAGAAATATTTTTACAGCTCAAAATTGGTTTGAGAATAATAGCAGTACCTCATAATCTACAGTTTTCTTTACATAGTTTCAGTTTCCCACAGGCAAATTTCTGGGAAATTCCAGAAATAAACAATTCATAACTTTTAAATTTTATGCCAGTCTGAGTAGTGTGATGGACTCTCATACTGTCCTGCTCTGTTCCACTCAGGATATGTATCATCCCTTTGTCCAGTGTATCCATGCTGTATGTGCTACCCTCCTGTTAGTCACTTAATAGCTGACTTGTTTATCAGATTGAATGTTGCAGAAACAGTGGTTATGTATAGGGTTTGATATACTCCTGGTTTCAGGCATCTACTGGGGTCTTGGGACATATCCCCTGCACATAACAGGTCTTCTGGTATTTAGTTCTCTTCATCTAACACACCAACATGAAACACCCCCAGCTGAGTTCAGTGGAACATCCACTATCTAGACACTGGGGTGAGGTTACTAAGTTTGGCTTCAGAACTGTCTGCATCAGAATAGCTCATTTCTGATTCTGAGGGTCTGAGGTGGGCTTAGTTGTAGCGTGCAGAATAATTGGGAATGAATTGGAAAGCATTCACCTGATCTCACAGGCTGGAAACTCAGTGAGTTTGAACTTGGATGTGAGTGGTCCCTTTCTGCAAGTTGCAAAGCCACCAAAGACCAGAAGTTACACTGAACCCATGTTGAAGAGGAGGGAAGCATGTCAATCTTCCGGAGGCCTGAAATTCCTACTGATGCCTTTAAGTAGTTTTATGTGTTTTGCTCTTGGAAAGGGTGGTGAATTCCAATTTTAAACTCACTCAGCACACATTTCTGATTGATTTTTGTTTGTCTAGAGAGGATTTGGTGAAGTAGTAATTAAACAGGCTGGAGCCAGTGGGGGAAAGGAGAAGGAGGCAGGCAAGACACATCTGGAGCTGTCCCAGCCTGCAGTGAGTGGCTGTGGTTTCAAGAAAGGCTTAAAGAGATGGTCACTGGAGGATTTACGGGGAGAGCCCCATCCACTTAGAGCCATGGGAAAGCCTGAACTAAGAGGTGTGACACAACACAGGGTCTGGAATCAGCAAACCTGACATTTTTTAAGGCCTTGCTTTGAAAGAGATGACTTCACTTAGAGACTCTGGGTTTGTCCTCTAGGTTCTTTGTGTCCTTATTTGTACAATGGAGATGGCTACCTTTGACCCTAGGGACACCAGTCATTGCCTGCCCTCCCTCACTCTCTTTTGAGAGGCTTAGCTCAAACACTGCTGAGTGGGAACTGGACCTTGTAACTTTGTTCTGCTGGCCCCAGCTGACTGCTAAACCTGGAGCCTGGCCAAGTGTGACCAGGGACCTGAGACTGGAGGCTTCTTTCCAAAAGATGAGCTGCACAATCAGATCCTTCATGAGCATTTCAAAGGAAACCCGAGTCACTGTTTCAATAGTCTCCAGACACTGTAGAATACAGGACAGAGGCCATGTTGGGTCATTTGCAAGATGAGGAAAGGGAGGAGGAAGAGAGAACACACAGGACCCTCTGCCCTGCCGATTTCCTTTCCTCTGATTTCCTAAGATGTCAGCATTCTTGCCATAAGCTCCATTTTCTTCTATGTCTGAACCCCTCATGAACCAGGCCTACCTGGAAGTGTGGCTGATATAAGTGGATGAGCCTGAGGGCTATGATGCCGGGCTTTAACTCCTGTGGAGGTGCTGTGGCCCTTCATTCCTTCCCCTAGCAACCAATCTTCTGCCACTTGTCTGACTCAAGGATTCCTATCTCTTTTCGGGCTTTGTGGCCTCTACCCCTGCCTCAACAGCAGCCCATGACAGCAGGGCCTTGTCCACCCTCCTCGTGCTCCCTCTGCAGTTACCTGCTCATACCTGGCAGGTGACAGTGACACTGTCTACCTGGTAACCCAAGGGTCTGCCCTTCCTCTTAGGTGCTTAGGCTCCACCTTCCTGAGTGTTCCTGCTGTGGAACCTCTTCCCTATCAGGTGTTCTACTGTCCATGACCTCTCACCTGGGCCTCTGCCTCTGAGGGATCCCAAGGCAATCCACTTCCCAGTGTTGTTCACACCCTCTGCTCGTAGCTCAGCAGTCCTGATTCATCCTTTTCAGCCTTACCTCCTTCACGCCTGGTTTCTGCCTTTAGGGATTAGAAGCTCAACTGTTTGACGTTGGAATGGCTCACCTCCCTATGCCTATTAGATCTTTTCTGCCTGGAAGGCTATACTCCACCTCTACTGTCACCTTGAATTTAGCTCAGTCGACACCTTTTTCTAGACTTACTAGGATTCTCCAGGTTGGCTCAGTGCCCTCCCCTGGCCTGAGTTCCCAGAACCCTTTGCACTTCTTTCATCAGAGGATTTACTTGGCCATGTTGTACTTGTTCACCTCTCTGTCTGCTCCATGAGATGGTAACAAACAGCCTGGCACTTTCCTCTGAGCACCAAGACAGTGTGTGAATAAACATCTGGAAGCAGACAGCCAGAGTGTAGTGCCTGCTCTGCTCTTTTCTAACTGTGTGATGTTGGGAAAGTTGTTTACCTCTTTACTAAGCCAGTTTCTTCAACTATATGATAGAGCTAATAATAGTAAGACTCACACCACGGGGTTAGTGGGAAAACTAAGAGGCAGAGCAGTGTGGTGTTTCGCACTGTGCCTGGCATGTTAGCTGCTGCTATAACGGGAAAATATTTCCACAGGCTGCTGGGGCAGAAGGTCTCCAAAAGTCAGTGCTAAATCTGCTGTTCCAAGGAAGAATTAAGAAGTCTTTTAGAAAACAACAAATCTTCCTTAAGGGTTTCTTCCAGGAAGTTGGGAAATTTGTCAAGAAACCAAGCATCCAGTACAAACCATGTTTTGAAAAGTGAAAACCCAGAAGTTTAAAGGAAAACATGGATGTTTTGGGGGGGACTTAGGAGTGTTAATGGACTGGGAGATTTATGTATGGCAAAAGGGAAAGAATGTGAGTGTGTCCTTTGGTGGAGGCTGCACTTGGGGGAAGTCAGAGACACCACTAAATGTCCTATGGAATAGGTGTTGGGGTGCCTGGAAACAGGCGCTCCCGACTTGTTGAGGAACTTTAAACATCCTAGCCCTTCTCAGAGAGCCGGGTCACTGGCACCCCAAGGAGCCCTGGAGCAGGTAATAAGGGAAGTAGTTGTTTTCTTATAGCCTAATGTGTGCGCGATTCGCAGCATGTGCCCAGCAGATTGGGGAGGATGGGAGCGATCCCCTTAGAACCCGGAGCAGACGCGAGGTGAGGGTTTGCTTGACCCTACCCCTAGCTTCAGGTCCTCCATGGAGGAGGGCCAAGGATAAAAACGCTCTGACTCCGGGGTCAAGCAGGAGGCGCTCTAGGCACGTCTCCGCCTCCTGCCTCGGACCTCAGTCTCCTCCTCCTGGCATTGGGTTTGCAGACCCCGCAGCTGGGAAAACAGATCTCGAAGACCTACCCGAGCTGGCTCCTCGGATCCTCCCCCGGGGTTTGGGAACGTGCCTCCTCCCGTCCCCCGGCCCGACTTGAAGAAAGTGTTAGGCGGCCAGTCCAGGAAGCGCGCACACTTGAGCGCTGACTGCCCTTGCAGGCTGCGGAGTTCCCCAGCGGGGGCGGCGCGCCCGGGTGGAGACCGGGTTGAGCGCTCTGGGCCCGGCGGCCGCTCCAGGAGGTCCGGCCACGAGCGTGACCTCACGGGGAGGGGCCAGCGCAGCAGCCTGGGCGCCCAGCCGAGCGCGAAGAGCGCAGCGCGGAGCGGAGCGGAGCGGCAAGAGCGCACGCCGTGGCCCCGATGGAGCGGTACAAAGGTGAGGGCGCGGACCCCGCGCTGCGCGCACCCACTCCCTTTCCCCCAGCGCTGCGCGGGGAAGGAGGACTAGGGCTGGTCGCCGGGACTCAGGTGAGCAGAGCCGCCTGCTCCCGCCCAGGGGGCCTGGGCCAAAGAGGGGGGCGACAGCGATGCAGCTGGCCGCACGCTGAAGACCGAGGTCAACATGGTACGATAGCGTGGCTTCTTACCTTTGGGAGGAGAGAGGGGTGCGCCCAAAGTCCCCCCCACTCCACCCTCAGTTCGCTGTCGGAAAATGATGCCTAGGCTCGAGGAGGTCCCAAGTAAAGTCGCAACCTTGAGGTGCTGCGGGGGGCAAACGGGCGAGTTGTTGGGTCCTTTCGCGTAGGTGCCACTGGGCTGGGGGGTCTACTTGCAGACCCCTCCCCGGAAAGAGCCTGCTGGGCGGAGTGGTTGGAGGTGGGCGCGCTGCCTAGGTTGGACCTCCTGACGTCCGGGTTTCTCTCCAAACTCTTCTCCAATCTCGCACCCCCAAGTTGGGTGGGGTGCAGGAGTTGGGGGCCGGATGGGCTGCCCAGCAGGTGGAGCGCCTGTAGGCGTCCCGACCCGAGGGCTTAGCCCAGTCACAGCTGAGCGAGTTTTGGGTTTGGCTCTGGCCCGGAGGCTCTTGGCCAAACCCTGGTGGGCGGGCCGGCTCCGTGTACCCGTGCCCAGCTAGCACCTGTTTTTGGAGCAACGGGACTGGCCCAGAAGCTTCGGACTGCAGGTCTTTTTTCGGAGGGGGAGGGGACGGTGAAAAAAGGCACTGAGAGCTGTCCTTTTAACAGGTCGCTGCGTTCGCCCCTCACCCGCCTTCCCTAAGAACAGCTTCTCTCTCCTTGTGCTGGGCTGGGCTGGGGAAATACTGCTTCTGTACTTGTTTTCCTTTGGGAGAGAGTAAAGAAGGATGATGTTCAGATTCCCAAGGAACCTCACCCTCGAGGGTTTCTAATTTCTGGAATTGACATAAAGGGACCTTTTGGGACAAGCTTTACTTCCCTAAGCTAGTAGTGTCTTTTGACTTTCCTTTTGCTTTTTCTCATCGGGGTCATTTGGTTACTTGGCAGAACAAAAGATCTAAGTGCTAGATCACACTTCACCTGTAAAGGTGGGGTCTTTGCCCTACAACACGGAAGTTGGCGGGGTTGGAGTGAGGGCGACTGGGTCGGTTTCCTTCTGTGACCGCTCTCCGGCGCCTCTGTCTCATTTCTAACCGGGTGATTTTATTGGGCTCAAGTTCTGCTGGGATGAGGGCAGTTTGTCCTTATGCAGTGTCCAACGCGGCAGGAAACTACAGTCCCTCTCCTTGTAAAATGGCAGCGGGCTCCTTCCTCCTCCACTCTGGCCCCTCCACCCTTTGGGAGGGAACCTCTCAGAGAATTCAGGCCCTGGGTGACTCCTGACCCTGGCCGGAAGTATTGGCCTTTCTCTTCAGCTCCCTGAATTGTGAAGATAGAGGAAGGGTGTTGACCCCAGATTGAGGGTCCCAATTGCAAGCTACATTCCCAAATCAACAAATTAACCTAAATTAGGGCAAATGATAACAGGTAGGCGTCTTTCCAAATGCCCACTTCTCATCAGCAGGTTTTTGTGTTAGTAATTCCTGATTTAGTTGGCCTGATAACATCTTCTTAGTTTATCTTCCACTCCTGGGAGCTGAAAATCCTCCCACTCTCCAAGATCAGTTGGGGGCTTCTTGCCAACTAAAGGAAACTGTTTCCAGTTGAGGGTGTTTATGTTTTTGGAAACACATGTATCTGCCTCATCATTTTGTAGTAAATCAGACACAGAGAGTGATAAGTGGATAAATTTGAGAATTATGTGGATTGCAGAGGCAAATCTGACTCACATAAAAAATCTTCATTACAAGTTTCACTGGTCATCTTAGTATCTTTGCTTTGCCTTTCACTGAGGAATTTGGGGATTTCATCCCTTCCCCCCCCCCCACAACACACATGGTGTAGAATTCTCTGTCCTCTTGAGAGACAGATGAGTTGTGCTTTGAACGTTCACTGAATGTGTATCCAAAATGAAGAATGCTGGGCTCCATCTCTGATACACCAGTGCACTTGACTGTAGTCTCTTGATTGTCAGATGGTCAACTTTTTGTTTTTAAGGGAAGATTGAAATAGTTATAGAATAACTAGGTATAGTGGTTTAAATAATAAAGAGAAAGCCAGGTTTATTTGGGCACTCAGAACTTACATAAAAAGGAAAATTCTTATGATGTGTGAAACTTAATATTTTTAATTTAATAAGCTTTTTTGGTGGTACTGGAGTTTGAACTCAGAGTGTAGCACTTGCAAGTACTCTATCACTTGAGCCACACCCCCTTGTTCTTTTTGCTTTTATTTTTCAGATAGGGTGTCTCTTGCCCAATGTAGCTTTCTGGCCACCATCCTCCTACCTCTGCTTTCTGAGTAGCTTGGGCATGTACGAAAACACCCAGCTAAATACCTCCTGTGTTTCTAATTTCCCAATTTTGAGCCCTCCCTCTCTGACTTAGGTAGAATGCCTCATTATTGTTACTAGGTTCTCAAAATGTTTTCTCTAACTTGTAGAATCTTAGGAAGCAGTCGATGTAGGGGAAATTGCTTTTCTATGCTCCATAGCCCCTCATTGTTTATCCTCCAAAAACCAGTGTATAATTTTTAGGCTCTGGTCTGATTTACCATTGTCTTGAGAGGCCCAGAGCATAAGGGTGGTTTGTCTAGACCTTTCTCCTAAACCCTTTTGCTAGATAGCCATGGCTTTCTCATGCAAAAACAAGGGGTGTGGGAGAATGTGTGTCCCTTCCCAGAAGGATGGAACTTTTATGAAAGTGATGGTAAAGTTACTATGTCTTCTTATATGTGAATCTCTTTGGTGTTCTACAAGCAGTAAGATCCTTACAAGTATCCAGGATGTGGTGTCAGGTTCTACAGGGTGCTTGAAATGATTCCCATCCTTGGGTGTTTACATATCTGTGACTCTCCAAGAGCATCCTGTATCACTGTACATGAGTCCATTGGCTGAACTCGCCCCATGTGGTCAAGGATTCTGGTTCTTGTTGCTCTCCCAGCTGGTGAGTGGGTCCAGGGCCAAATGTGACTGACCTACTATCTGTGGATTGCACTTGGAACATCATGCTGAAGCTTCCTGAGGTTGCATCACACTTGGATCCAAACAGGCCTGGTTGAGATACTCAGACTGCATTTTGGATTACAGTAATTGATTGGAAGTATCCAATGGAGGAATCCTTCTTTTCCTCCATTCTTTGGTTTCTGAGTCTAATCGCCTACTTCCCACTTAGCTGTGAGACACTGGAAGTAGAAAGGAACCTAGAGAGTAGAGGCCAGCAAATACTTGAAGGTTTGTTTGAGAATCCTGATATCTATGGTCAGGGAAGGTCCAAAAAGAAAAACTAGTTGAGAAATGGGCAAATTGTTAACATTCATTCAACCCTCGGGAATCATCTGTTTCCGTGCCTAGGAACTCCTGTTGAAGTTTACAGTGGTTCCTTTTTTTCCTCTGAAGCAGGGTTTCACTATGTAGCCCAGCCTGGCCTTGAACTCAAGATCCTTCTGCCTCAGTCTCCTGAGTAGGATTATAGGCATGTGCCATTGCAGTGGTTCTTGACCTTAGCTTATATATGTATGCAATCATCCAGGAAGCTTTAAAACTTGTGGGAGGGGGTCTGGTATGGCTATACAGGCCCCACCTGACATTCTGATATAATTGTCTGGAGTGTAACTTGGGCTTTGTAGTTTTAAAAGGTCTCCAGGTGCTTGGCACTAGTGGTTCATGCCTGTAATCCTAGCTATTCAAGAAGCAGAGATCAGGAGGTTTGAAGTCAGCATAGACTCTATCTGGCAAAGTGACTTAAGTGGTAAAGCACCTGCCTAGCCCTGAGTTCAAACCCCAGTACCACCAAAAAAAAAAAAAATAGTTTCCAGGTGATTCTAATATGCAACGAAAGTTGAAAAAAATCACATTTCTTCTGAAAAAAAAAAAAACAACGAAATGTCAAAAAGGAAGAAAAAAGGTACAGATGTCCTTTGATATCTGAGAAGAATAGGTTCCAGGACACCCAAGGATACCAAAATCAGAGGATATTCAAGTCCCTAATGTAAAACCCATTATCCTAGGTACTCAGGAGGCAGAGATCAGGAGGATCCAGGTTCAAGTTGACCATGGTATACAGAGACTGTATTGGAATAATAAAACAAAAAGGGCTGGGGGCATGGCTCAAGTGGTAGAGTGCCTGCATCTAATACAATGTAAATAATTATTACACTAAATTGTGTGGGAAATAATGACAAGGAGAAAAGTCTGTACATGTTTAATATAGATGCAAGTCATTGTAGACCTGAGTAGATGGTACATGTCAGCAACTACATAACATTTTCCCCCAATGTTTTGAATCTGTGGTTGGTCAAATCTGAAAATGCAGATTTGACTAACCCATGGATATGAAGGGCCGACTATAATTATATACACACCTTTGTTACTGGAAAAAAAATATAAGCAAGTATGGAATGAAATGGATACTTTCTCCATACTCACGTGATGTATCTTAACCAAACCTTATGATACCTGCAGAAATCTGATGTAATTCACCTTCAGCTATTAGAGGCTTTAAAAGGCTATGAGAACACTGTTTTAAAACAATCGCAATGTGGTGTTTTAGCATCCTAAGCTCAGGACTTGCTCATTGTACTTGACCCTGAGGCCTCCTGACTTTGAAATTCTTTGTGTGGAGCACTGTGTCAGTGCAATGGTCTGAAACAGAAAACTTGAGAGGTCAAGTTGGTGCTGAAAGGCCAAGGAGTGGGAGAATTCTGCTTTGGGCCCTTCCTCTCTCCTGAAGGGGTGGGGGTGCTTGGAACTGGTCTGGTTCCAGAACAATTAAAGGGCCAGGAGGGGCCAAGGAGCTTCAAAGCTGAGGAAGCTGTGCCAGTTTTCTTCCAAATCCCTTTAATGACAGGAAATGTTCCTCTAAAGGCTTCTGTCCTTGGGGGTGGGGTGGGGTGGGCAAGGGGAGACTTTCCCCAATCTAGGGAGGGTGGCATGTTTTGTTCAGTACCCTGGATGAGAAAGAAGGGAGAGCTGTCATAGTGCAGATGAGAAAACAGTGGTTCAGGGCTAGAAGCCCTGCTCCCTTGGGCCTCTCCAGGTCTCTGTTTCCCCATCTAGGAAACAGCCTCCTATGTTCCTTCATGACACTTTCCAACCACTTCTCCATATTAGTTTTTCTGTGGACTTTTGGGAGGGAGAATTGTCTGGGAAGGAGAGCCAAGTGAGGGATGGAATAGCAGCAGGTTGTCCAGTAAGGATCAGTTTAGGATTGTGACTCTTATAAATAAAACCAACTTCCGGTTGGAGAGTTGCAGTCTTAGTGGGAAAGAGAATGTCATAGACTATGTGAGGAATTTGCTTCACAAGGACATGTGTGTCACTGTGTTTCCAAAGACGGTTAGTTCCATGCAAAGCCATGGTCTGAAACTCAGAATAAGTCCCTTGCATTTGAGAGATAGGTCTACTGAGCCTTGAGATTAAGCACCACACAGTTCAGAGGGTCAGAAACAGGAAACAATATCCCTGAGAACTGAGTTTCTAAAGGGAGAATTCCTATTGAAGAATTTGAAGTACTCAAAGCAGTGTATACTCATTCTTATCAGTGTACCTTCTGCCAGGAAGGGACTAGCTGCTCAGTTAAACTGTCCTCAATCTTCAGAGCCAACCCCTGGTGTCGCATCTTCCACCAAGCCATGTTGGTTTCTGGTGTCTCCTTGCTGCTTTTGGTATAGCATCATTCATGCCTGATACAACATAGGAACTCAACAAATACTTGTTAAATTAATGTCACATTGTCTTATATTTATATGTGCATATCTGGTTTCTCTGTAGACTGAGCTCCTTCAAGACAGGAGTTTTGTGTTTTCCCCTTTAAGTGACCCTCCCCAGCCCCTGGCACATTGCCAGGTACATAATAGTGGTCTGGGAATGGCTGATGTATGGGTGAATGAATGACTTCTGGGCACAGAACACATATTGATCTATTGCCTCACCCTCAAGAGCAGACCTGATTCACAAAAAGAAATGAAGCAAGATCTCCAAGGCAAATTCCAGAAATGAAGATGGAAGCTCTTGGTGGCTGCCCTTGGCTTTCCCGATTTGAGCCTTCTTTCTGTCTGTTCCAGCACAGGGGTGTTGCTGTCTGGTGGTTCAGAGAAGGATCCTGCAGGTCTCTGCTTGTGAGTATGAGCCTGTCTGAGCCCTCTGCAGAAGCTCATCTGGCCTCCAGGCTCCCAAGGGTGCAGATCTGGCTCAGCCCACGCTCTGGATGATGGGCTGGGGGATCCTTGGAGCCAGGCGTCAGCCTGGGCACTCAAGGGCTCAAGCTTCTAATCTGGCTTTTGCCACTAACTTGCTGTGCGACCTTGGGCAAGTCAATTAATCTTTCTGGGCCTTGTTTCCTCCTCTGTACATGTGAGGATAATGATTACTAATCTGGCAGAATAACGCGTAAGAGCGCTTGGTAAATGCTTTGAGAAGGGGAACGTTAACTCAGAAGAACAGATACCCTGAAAATTCTATGATGCAGATCTGCCCTCTAGGTGGGAGTCCTCAGTTAATTTGGACACCAACTCTGCCCATCATGTACTTTTCAAAGTTTTTTTGAGAGCTCGCGGTTGGGGCTGCTTGCTTCCCAGAGGAGACACCATCTGTATTTCCCTTCTATGCAAGCGGGGAAGGAGATAGACAAGGAATTGCTCACTTTTCAGCCTTAGATGTGGAGTCTGGTCCTGCATGACTTTTCGCTGATTCCTCAGTAAGTTTATATAGGAGAGCCCCTGACATTCTAACAGTAGTTTTATGCTGTTTACTAATTTTCAGTCACTTGGTTCTTACCTTCTCCCTAGTTAGTCATAAAACAGACTAACCCCAAACTACACTGGGTAATGTAGACCCAGGAGGGAGCAGCATCACCCTGGACACATTATATTAGACTGGTGCCAACACAGAATGAGGCAGGGCACATTGATGTCAGAGCTTTTGTTGGGAGCTAAGCACCAGGGTGGATGGCGCCACTGCGGTAGAAGCCCAGCTCTGCTGACTTCTAAACAGACTCCTGAGTTCTCGTCTCACTTCCTTGAGGCCGCCCAGGGACTTCCAGGGCAGCTGTGGAGGGGCTTGAGCTTGTGCAGAAGCTCAGCCTTAGTAGACTGCAAATCAGCCTTCTGCTGGGGATTAAACCAAGGCAGGAGAGTCAGCTGTTAGCTGGAGACAACACTGCTGTGCACTGGAAGGAATCCCATGGGGTGAGCCTGCAAGCCTGCCCCTGGGGAGGTAGCTTTCCAAAGTCCAGTGACCAACCTTCGTGGGTTTGCCTGGAACTTGCCTGGGGTTATGACCGGAAGTACCACATTCTAGCAAACTCCTTAGTGCTGGACAACTGAGATGTTGGGTCACCCTATCCCCAAACCTCAGCTTTATTAAATACCTTGAAATCAAGAATTTGGTTTCTTCACAGCAAAGATGAGCTGCAGCTAATCGTTTAGTGTCTGACAAAAAAGTGAAAGTTCAAGGCTAAAAAATGAACAAATCTTCACTAACTGCTGGTGATTCACCCCAGGATGTTAAGTGAGAGAAGCCAGACTCTAGAGTCTATACTGCATGAGTCCAGTTATGTGACTTTCTTTCTACAACAGGCAAAACTACCTATAGAGAAGGAAAACAGATCAGTACGGTGGGTGCTGGGGGTGGGAGGTGGACACAAAGGGGCATGAGGTAGAGACGTTTTGGAATGATGGAAGAATTCAGCATCTATATTGTGGTACCTACGCAGATCCACATATTTGTCAAAATCCAGAACTGTGTAGTTAACAATGTAGGTTTTGTTTTCTTTGTGTGTAAATTATACCTTAATAAATCGGCATTTTGAAAACACCATAGCAGATTGTGGTGCCTTGGTAGGAGCTGAAGGAACCATTAAGTGTCAGGTGGTCATCACAGGCTGTAGGTAGAAATCAAGCCTTTGTATGATTGATCTATGGCAGTTTCAGAGATAGCAGGAAAGGGTGAAGAATTCTGGTGAAAAACAAAAAGACCCAGTGCTCATGCCTGACAGCTTCCTAAAGGCCAGAGACTTTTCCAGTAGGTACAATCATTGATGCTGGCAGTGTTCCATTAGAAAAAAGGGAAAGAAGTTCTCCTAAACTCCTGGGGTGTGGGAGCATTGCTGCTCACCACACATGGAGCTGATGTGTTTGTTCACTTTGGCAGTCTCTGCAAGTCATCTTTCACCAATGAAGTTATTGAATTGGAATTGAGTACTTACCTAAGTCTGGTCCATAGTTCTTTCCTGATTGATGTTTTGTTTTTGGTAGTTCTGCTAGCTAGTCCTATGCTAGCTAGGATTGATTTTTGAGGGGGAAGAACCAATGATTCATCAAAATAATGCACCTAGTCCTGGGTACCAGGTGACTAGCAGCTCTTGTCTGTCCTCTTGTTTCCAGGCAGTGGGGTGGCGCCTCATGATGCAAGGGCAGAATCGCCAGCCCTCACTGCACTAGGTCAGGGACAGGATATAGAATCCCCAAGAATGAAGGAGTTTCTCGCTGGTAGTCCTCATGGAAACTTAAGATTTTGGTGGCCTCCATGGTTTTTTTGTTTTGTTTGTTTTGTTTTTAAATCAAGCCCATGTTGAATTGGTCTGTTGTTCAGGTGAATTTTTTCTGGCTCTGTGCCCTGGGGAGCTTTAGATACTGTCTTTCCATATTCACTAAATAAATTATGTTGGACAGCTGTGGAACATCCATCCATGAGGGAGGACCCTGGTCATGTCTATCTGTGAGTTACAGAGCAGAATTTCACACATGCAACTCTTAGTCAGAAACATGTCCACGTCACTAGTTACCCACAAACGAGGTTCTGTCCTACCTGTCCTGGGATGTCCTGGAAGAATTGTAGAATAATAGGTGGTAGAGCCCTTAGTTCTAATTGCTTCACTTTGTTGAGGGCAAGGTGGAGGTTGGAGAGGCAGAACATAATCTTGTCTGTATTTGTAGTGAAACTTCCTTGATGTGGGGTCAGGTCTGGCTTGTGACCGGTCCACCTAAGAAGCACTAAGTTTGGGACATTCCCAGGTCCTATTTCTAGCTTAAGTGCAAGAGAGAAGAGCTGCCTTATGCAAAGGAGCAACTAGTACATGGGTGAGGGGATTCCAGGTACTCGCTTACCTGGACCGCCAACTGCTAACCATCATCTCCCAGGGCTACCCTCATACCCTGGCATTCTTTGGGTTTTGAGGACTATCTCAGCCTTCCTATTAGACCAACAAGTGGGAATCTTGCCATTTCCTTCCATCTTCTACCCCTTTTTTTCCTCCCTCTGGTTTTTACACAACAGGATTTATTCATGTCAACTCTATTCAAGTCCCAGATGGGGGCAGAAAAAAAGATTGTGTTGAATGAGCTTATTGTTTGGTGATTTCACTGACTTCTTTTATTTAATACCACAGTCCTAGAACATATTGAGCTGATTTACTGAATTTCAAATGTGATTCTTTTGGAAGGGACTCTGCTAGGATGCTTAGTGTCCCTGGTTTCAGGGATAGGACCTATTGGGTGGTAAGTTTGCTTGGGGCAATTCAATTTCATCTTTATGGTCTTGGGATTCCTCAAGGGTAAATAGTCTCAGTTATAATCACAGACCCCTTATAAGCTGGAGATGGTCACTGCCCTGCTGCCCTCTGCATTGTCAGGACGTTAGTGGAATCCCCACCTAGTACATTCCTTGAAGAAATAAAGAGGTAAACAACCACTAGGTACTATAGTTTACAGAAGCCCTCTGTGGCTTCTGCTCATTGTTTCTCAAACAAATGGGAGGAAGTTAAGGATGGTGACATGGCACATGCTGGGCAAAAGCACTAAGTATCAAAAAACTGCATGCCTCCTGCTCAAATGCCTGATGCATTGTGACTGGTCCTTGGCAGACATGGCAAAGTGCCATTCCTTGCTTCACTCCGTGCCACAGCCATACAGGATTCCTGTGGCCACCCACTTTGGACTTTTGCAAATGCTGGTTCGTTGGCCTGGAATGCCCTCCCCTTCAGACTGCCTGGCAAGCTCATTTGTCAAAGGCTCACTCAGCCTTGACACCTTGATCTTGGCATATTTTAGAGAGGAGGTCTCTTCTGTGGGTTGTTACTGGAATCATGACTGAGGATCAAGGTGTGTGGGGACCATCAAGTGCAGCTATTACTGCAGTACAGTTACCTGTGAGAGTTCCAGGTGTCTGAAGCCCTTGGAGACCTCCTGAGAAAGCCACTGCAGAGTACTTGAGTTGGGTAAGCTTGTGTTTCACTGGTGTCAGTGGAAGCCTGGCTCAGGTTCAAGGGAGTAACATGGCAGATCTTTGAGAGCTGGCCTAGGGGAAAGTAGGTAGGGGTGATAACAAAACCACAGGCCCAAGTGCGAGTGTAGGTGTTCAGGACACCTGCCGGGAGCACACAGTCCTACCCAGCTCTTGCCTCTTGTACAGTCAGCCTTCTCCCAGCCTTCTCTCTCTCTTCCTCCTTTTCTGCTCTCTCCTGTTGCTTCCTTTTTTTTCCCTCTTGACCTTCTCCTTCTTCCTCTTTTTTTCTGCCCATTTTATTAAGGAATGGGACCTGAGTTCAGAAAAGGGATTCCTACTGAAAACCTGAGGCCAGAAAGACCCAGGCAAGAGGGAGCACCCATCCCTTGTCCCCAAGAATCTGGTAGTGGCAGGAGTAGCCGTAGCTAGAATTCTAGGCTTCAAAGGAGAGGCTGGTAAGCATAGCTAGAGAGACCAGGGCTTTTTCTGAGCTTCTCCTTCCTTCCTGGGAGAAGAGACCTGAGTGAAAATTTGCCAGATGGCCTGCTGCAGAGAATGCAAATCCTCAGGGCTGAGGTCACTTGATCACCTGTGACCTTGGAGCCCCACCTAGCCTCTTGGCAGGTTAGTGTGGTAGTGACTAGGAGAGGGAGCTCCTACCCTCTGTGTGTCTTTAAGCAGAGATGTGACCTGCTGACTATGAGGGAGGGAATCCCAGCTCCAGCCTGTGTGCATCTCCTCCCACTGCTATCCCACGGAAATGAGTGTCTGAAGAGGAACGGGCACTGCACTGTGGGGAGCATGAGAATGTTGTATTGTTTGGATAAAAGTTCCAAACATGAAGGTTCAACACTGACTAAAATAATTTTTCCCACTGACCTCCTGGCTTCCCAGT